GGATGAGTTTGTTGTAAATCATACAGTTCTTGAACACCCTGAATTACAATGCGTGAATCTGAGCCTTCACTAGGAGTTAGAATACCTTTAAGTCTAAGGATAACGATAGTATCAGAAGAAGTTATCATTGGAATAGTCTTTTCCCATAATAAATATTGTATCCAACGTTCAATTTTCGATATATCAATATTTGTAACAGGAAATTCCGACAGGCATATGGTTTTTACGTCTTCTATCTGATGAGATTCTGTTACAGATTTCAAGATTTTTGATTCTGAACTTAACGCAGTAACTTGTTTAAAATCAAAAGCATGAATGTCTAAAATGAAATCCAATGGAGCTTTTGACTTTTCTGTTCTTAAAATATTTGCAGCCGAGTTGATCAATCTATTAAGAAACTCATCAGCAAGTATAAGATGTTATCATAAACATGACCAAAATAAGACGCATTACCTTATTTGTTCTTGAACGATGTCTAATGTTGACGGAGTAACTAAATCTGTTTTATTAATTATTATTCTATCTGCTATCGCCACTTGTCTTATCGCTTCGTTTATTGATCCGTCTTTCTTTTTCTCTGATAAATACTTTAATAAAAAGGTCATTAATAAAATTAAAATTATGGTATATTATAATGCGTCCCATTCATAAAATTTACTTGTTGAATATATTTCGCATCCACTAATGTTATTATGCCATCCAAGTATAAATCACTTCCCAATTCATCGTCTAACCAAAACATTGAAGCTATTGGCCCTGGATCTGCTAATCCGGTTGTCTCCAATAAAATATAATCGAATTTTCCTCTCTTTTGCATTAAATTTTCAATGGCTTTAACTCCATTATCTCTATAAAAGTTATTCACTTATCTTTTATTATATGAGCTTTTGTTTAAAAGAGAGAAACCAATATATAAATAGACTTACTTGACGGAACAACATAAACAACCGTTCTTTAATTCCAACCATTCTTCATATAAATCATCACCTTGATTTATTGTCAAGGATTTTTCTATTCCGCTGCTTTCTCCAAATTCGTTTAATATTACCGCCATTCTTTTGCCATGTTGCTCTGTCAAAATGTAATTGAGTAAGGTAGTTTTACCAGATCCAAGAAAACCCGTAACTATTGTTATTGGAACTTTTGCTTCAAGCGTTTTGTTGTCTTTATTTTCATGAACAGGGTTGCTTTTTTTACAAACAAATGAATAGTTAGATTTACGGTTAGGTATCGAAATTTTTTTAAGATAAAACATACGCGTTAATTGTTTCCGGAATGACTTCCACCAAATCGGGTATTTCTGAGTCGAGGCCTTCCATTTTTTTTTTTTTAAAAAAAAGAGATTTTGACGTTCCCATTTTAGGATTTTAAATTAATCACCGCAGTATACTACAGGGTTTTTGCAGGGTCTGTGCATCAGATATTACAGATTATAAATAAACATAAATGCAGGTATTTTTTCTCACGTCAATAGAGATCGATATCGAATAAAAAAAACAAATGTCAAAAATGATTCCAAAATTTGAGGTATTTATGTGTGTTCATACCTTTTAAATCGGATTTAATAAATTTTTTTTTTTTTTTTTTTTTTTTTTGCAATCAAGGTGTGTATCGATTCGGCACAATCTGCTATAAATGCGGGTAATCGTATATGATATAATTTTTTCATTCTTTTCTTCTAAAAAAAGAAAAAAAAAATTTCATTCATTCAATCCATTTCAATCAAAAGAAGCCGGTGGGGCATCCCGTGTTGAGCTATGCGATAACCTCATGGAAGGTGGAACTACTCCAAGTTCAGGTATTATTAATTCTTATTTTCCATCTTAAATATAAAAATAATCATTCACATTCTTTTCATGTGTTTAAATAACGTAGGAATGATCGCCACAATTCTGAACCGAGTGAAAATTCCCGTCATGGTAAAAGTTATTATCTGCTAAATGTTGAATTTATATGATAGATAATCAAAATAAAGCAAACCATTTGCCGATACTTTTTCTATTAGGTTATGATAAGACCTAGGTTTGTTTGAACTCCATGTCGATTTTTTTGAATTGTTCTATAATTGGTATATAAATTTGTATACCGTATACTGTATAAAATATATTAGAGGCGGTGACTTTTGTTATAGCGAAGATGAAATTAAAGTTATGTGCTTAGATATTCAACACGCAAAATCGCTCGGAGCACATGGCGTCGTTTTTGGTATCTTGAATCCTGACGGAAGTGTAGACGTCGAAAGAGTCTCCAAGTATAAAATTCAAAAAAATTTTTTCTGTTTTTGTCGATTGATAATATAATATGATTATTCTTTTTAGGTTAGTCGATTTGTCAAAACCCATGAAAGGTTTAATTTATTCTTTGAAATAAGCGTTTTATTTTCACACAGGCTTGTGATTTACATATATATGTGAATTCCTTAGTGACCTTTCATCGAGCTTTTGACATGACAAATGATCCATTCAAAGCCCTTGAAGACATCATTTCAATTGGAGGAATTCAAAGAATTTTAACAAGGTAAATAAGTAACGTATTAAATAAAAAAAAAGGTAATTAATTTAATTCTAGAACAATCATAATTGTAATCCATTATTTTACAAAGTGGGCATGATAGCACCGTTTTAGAAGGTTTAGATACCATCGTGCAATTAGTGAAACAAGCCAACAGTCGCATTATAATTATACCCGGCGGAGGTTTGTTTCAGTTTCTCCGTAGAATAATATAAAACGCTTGTTGACACATTTTTTTTAACAATCCCAGGAATTAAAGAGTCAAACATAGAAAGGATTCTATTTGCTGTCGGATTAGAAGAAATGCATGTATCAGCAAGTGCCGCTATCCGTTCTGTTATGGAGCACAAAGTTTCAACCATACATATGGGTAGAGCTCATCACAATAACGAATATGTGATAAACGGGGTAAGTGAGGAAAGACTTAAAAGGATGATTTCCGCCGCTACCAAAGAAGTTCTTTCGTGATATATTCTGTTCAATATAGTTAGACTTGTCAAATAAGTTTATCAAAACCTTTTGAACTATACACAATTTCTGATTAACTATTATTAGAGTATTTTATATCTAAATTTGTCATCTGTTCGATTACTCGAATATTTTAATGGACGATCAAAACTTTTCTTGATCTCATACAAATAAAAATTTCAAATTGACTAAATTGACTAATACTTTTATGAAAATACTGGTTTACTGTAAACGAAAACACATATACATATATATAAAAAGCCCATTCCGTTGAAATAAAATTATTTTTTAACCATTTTATCTCATCGTTTATTTGCGAATTACCCTCCCCCCTTTTTTTCAAAATTTATTATTATATAATTTATAATAATTTATCTGAAATTTTTTAAAGAATTTTTTCTCCTTTTATAAAAATTTCTACTTTCTACCAATCACCGCAGTAACAAGAAAATTCGCCACCAAAAATAAAAAAAAGGAAGAGCATGAAACATTTTCGATTTTTTTTATATCCTTTTCTTTCATTCATTTCAGTGGTTTATGGGTGTGGCATGAGTGTACATAATGAAGTAACAAAAAGAGCAATGTACACCTTTCGTCCTATAATACCAGAGTACAATAAATATGCTACATATTTACATAATTATCCTGAATTTGTTCAGGTAAGAATTAAAAATTGGATCATTTTTACATGGTAAAATTTTGGTGATTTAACTAATATGTAATCATTACTATACGGGATTTTAAACACCTATTCTTTTTAAAGGCTGGGTCTTTTTTTCCAGATTGGTAAACAAATTTATTGATTGATTGATTTATATCTTTTTTGTCTGGCTATATTTCCTATTTAAAAAGAAAGGAAATTTCTCTTAAAAATATAGGGGATACGGTTGTATGGGAAACGATGATGCTTCCGAAGAAGGTTTATTATGAATTTCTCTATGGTATAAACTTCAATCAAAAAAAAAAAAATAAATATGAATTATAATTTTCTTTTCGTTATTTAAATTTAGCGCATTGGCTGCCTTTCATGAAATCTAGTGTGGAACATATTCGCGAAAAATATGACATCGCTACCTGGGAACAGGATAGCGTGGCGCAGGTCCGCAGCGATCTCTCTCTTTTTTTTTTTTAAACATAAGAAAAAAAAAATTTATTTTTTTCTTTTATAATGCTTATGCTTTATTAGGGGGTGATATCGTTTTTATTTGCAGTCGTTTCTCATGAAGTTGCGGATATAACCTGGCATAGTATAGAAATGAAATCGGGGTTTATACGTGCAATGGCATCTTTAAATTTTATGAATAATTATGCAGCGGCTCATGAAGTGGCTGATGTCGGAGGAGAATTTACGTTAGCTCATATGACAAATTTAGATTATTTCATAGTAAATGAATTTATTTGATTTTTTTTTTTTTTGATTTTTTTTATTGTTATTAATTTCTTTTTTTCTAGGATGAATGGAGTCTTCCGATTGATGATTTGGTGGAAATATATCAACGTACAAATCAGACCGTTGAAGGGAATCAAATCGAAATCTGTGTTAAAAAAGCGTTTGCTGCGGCTCAAATGAATAAAGTAAATAAAAACATGATAAATCTTTTAATTCATTTTTATATTCATATTTTTTCTTTTTTTTTTTTAGCGTTTTGGTAAACACTTCTTCGGGTATTATGGTGAAACGGTAATTTATTTTAAACCTTCTTAAATAATCGTTACATTAGTTATCATGTAGGATATTTTTGATTTTTTTGCATTTTCAACGAATCATCTAGAATTCACTAAACAAGTCATTATTTAGTCTCCATTCTTAATTGAAATGTTCGAAGCATACCATAAAGGAGGTAAGGAATTTGTCGCATGTATTTCATAAAAAAAAAAAAAAATTGAGGCGGCGAACCTTTTTTTTTTTTTTAGGTCTCAACAATATGGCTGCAGATGTAACAGATTGTTGGCACGAATTAGCGAAATGGTTTGAGTTCGGAACCAATAACAACGAATTATGTAATACATTTCGAATGGTAGCTGAAAAACGAAAGAAACGAGAGAATAAATATCACTCTCATAAAGATTTGACAAATTTTCTATACAATTATTCCGAGGAATTATTGGAGATCACAGGATATAGTATAAGATATCATAAAAAAAATGGTATTGGAACGTTCGAAATACATCGTCAATTATCAAGAGACCCGATTACGAACGAGCCTTTCCCTGAATCGCAAGATTTCAATCCTTCAGAAAAGGAAAAAAATGTAAAAGTGGAAGAGTATGGATTTGATCAAGTATTTCAAGATGTTCTGACAAAAGATGAAAAAATATCATTATCGGATGAAAATCATGTTTCAATAAATTTACCTTGGACAAATTCGGATCATTTATTACCTTCATCCTATTCTTATTCATCTAATATTTCCACAGAACCGTTCGATGCAACATGTCGTCTAGTCCCCAATGATCCAAACAAAGTTCAAACAATAAATATTCCTTACTCTTATGCTCATTTTGGCCATGATATGGTGGTTGGGGATTTCAATGGGGATGGGATTCAAGATTTAGGTGACATCACATTTTCGTATTAAATCTAATCTTAGATTATCGTTATCGCGGTTGAAAAAAAAAATTAAATTTTTTTTTTTGTTCTTAGCAATTAGTGCACCATTCTATTCAAACCTACCGGAAATACCACAAGTTGGAGCAATATTTATAATAAATGGAAGAAAATCAGGATCATTTAAATTTTCACCAAAATCATCAAACATTCTTGATCTTGCTGATAAGATAATATATGCATACAACTCGCGAGATGGAAATAATAATGAAGCACAATCGAGATTTGGTTGGTCAATGAGTGTTGTGGATTTAAATAAAGATGGTATAGATGATTTGGCGGTTTCTGCACCATCATTTGGAGCAAATAAATATATTTATAGCGGGAAAGTTTATGTTTATTTTGGAAAGAAAAATGAAGGGTTAAAGGCAGATATGGCAGATCTGGAGATTAACTCAAAACGGAATGTATCTGAATATGACTGGCAAATTGAAGCATTTGGACAATATATGAGTGCTGGGGACGTAGATGGTGATGGATTTGCCGATTTATTAATTGGATGTCCTTATTGTGGAATGTATAGTGAAGAGAAAGAGGTGAGTAATAATTATTATTATTATTTCTTTTTTTTTATAATGATACTTATTACAACATATTATGCTCAAATTCAAATATTTAGAAAATCTTATTACATACTGGAGGGGTGTTCGCATTCCTAAGTTCCAGTGATCATAAAGGAAATATAACAGTTTATGATTATGATTGGTCGATAATAAGTCCAGGTGATCATGAATACGAATGGTTTGGTTACTCGATAAATTATTATAAATCTGATTCTATGCAAAATCCTATAATAATTGTTGGAGCACCAGGATATCATGAACATTCAATTACACCAATGGTTGGTAGAATTTACGGGTTTGAAATCATTGATAAAGTTGATCAGAATGGAAAAGGTCCTGTAAAGATATTTGATTTATGTGGAGTTGAAGAATTCCAGGGATTTGGAAGGTAAGCATGATAGCAAATAATCAAACGATATATTTTTTTAAGATGAGTAATAATAATAATTTTTTTTTTTTAAAAAAAAAAAATATAGTTCAATTATTGTTGGAGATTTACTTGATAATGGAGAAAGTTATATTCTCGTTGCTTCAAATTCTGAGACACATAGAAAAAAGTTTCCTCAATATGGCAATTTTTGGCAAGCAGGAGCAATAAGGTTAATTAACATGCAATATCTAAAGGAAGATAAAAAGTTATCTGATGAGGATATGAGCTTAGGAAGAGAATTACTGGCATTATTACGTGGATCAGAAAGTGCTTCACGTCTTGGAAGTTCATTATTATGGGATATTAATGAGAAATCATTATGGGCTTCTGAACCATTTACTTATTGGGGTGAGTAAAACTATTAAAGTGTATAGAATCATATTTTAAATAAAAAAAAAAATACATAATTAAAAAAATTTTTTTTTTATTCTTTTAGAATCTGGACAAATATTTAAATATTCAATAGGATCTTCTTTGGTTTCAGAAGTATGTTTGGTTGGAAGAGAACGTCAAGCCAGGTTTGGAAATAAAATGATAAAATTTGATTTTAATGGTGATGGTAAAAACGACTTGGTGGTGAATTCTGAACATTCAAGTTATGCTGCAAGGTATGTGAATGTGTTGAATCATTTTTTTTTTATGACAATTTAACCCTAATTTTTCTTCTTTTTTGATTCATATATTAAGGTTG